GTCAGTGAAATTAAATTTGTCGTATTCAACCATTGTTATATCTATATTATTAATTATTATATCTATATTCAACCATTGTACCCTCTGACACTTCTTCAGTTGTCTGTCTTTATACTCAACCATCTTGGTATTCTGAACAAGAACACTTTATTCAGTCCACTAGGATAGATTATTCTCATTCCATTTTCCATGCTTAGTTAAGCAGCATCAAATTCAGTCAGTACTTAGATGGGGGATTGCTTGGGAGCTGGGTACTTTAAGAGACCCCTCCTACAATCTGAAATATATTTTGACTTTAAATAACCCCCCAAAGGTTATCCAGCCTAAAAAAAAAAAAAACAATCGATCAATCAATCCATCCATGTTTAGAAGATGTTTACCATTTTGTTCTGCCATCTTTCAAACAACTTTATAATTTCTTTCTTAGCAAACAATTACAAGTGTCTTTTGCAATCTTCCCAGAAATAGGACCTTTTTATTTTCTTTAAAAGAAGGATGCTGCAATACTATGTTGATTTGGTTATAATCCATATCAGACAAACTCCCAAGAATACAAGATGTGAGTTCCAATCTTGTTGGAGGTAGATATCTTTCTACTAAAACTGGTAGTTGTGATTCGGACAATGAAAGTTACATATTCTGCTACATAGGCAAGTGAAAAACTGACATCACAAATTGTTGCTTATGACTGAATGACATCTACAAACTTTCCTTGCCCTAATTTGTAGACAAATTCTACAGATGCATGCTGGGATTTCTTCTTGACCAATAAAAATGTGCAATTTTTGGTTTTGTCTCCATATTGTTCTTCTTTCTTGCTTTGAAGTCAGAATGTTATAACCACTTGACTGTTTCCCTTTTTGCATGTGTACAAAATTCTTACTTTATGAACTTTTTGCTTTGTTACTATTGTTTGCTTTTGACCTGCAATATACATATTTTTTTTATTGCTATAAACATTATTTTAGTGGCTACATGTGTTTGGGTTGCTATTCCTCATCTTTGTCGCCATATTTATTACAACGTTTTGGTTGTTGTATGCTCCGGCCTTCTTCAGGTGGTTTGAATGTCAAACTGAAGCCTTTATATTACTCACTGGGGTAGACTGTTCTAGTTCCACGTGCCATGGATGTCAGTTATCTCATGTTAATTCCCCTGTCCAAGTTCTCCACTGACATCCAGGGTGTACAATGGCTGAAACTTTATAATAAATATGGCAACAAAGATGTCTGAATAATGTAAATAGTATACATAATACCTAATCTCAGAAATATAGACAGATACTGAATGGCTGAAACGTGATAAATATGGCGACAAAGATGAGGACAATAGTCCGAATAATGTAAATAGTGTACATAATACATCATCTCAGAAATATAGACAGATACTGAAAGGCCAAAACGTTATAATAAATATGGCAACAAAGATGAGGACAATAGTCTGAATAATGTAAATAGTGTACATAGTACCTCATCTCAGAAATATAGACAATTGCTATTCCTGTTTTTTATTATTATTAAAAAGTGAAAGTAATAACAACTGACCTTGAGTGGGAAGTCTTAAAAAATTAGGGATAACAACTCAAACACATGTAACTAATTAAAATAATGTTGGATAAAAAATACTTTTAAAAATTATATATATATATATATATGGACTCTCCTGTTGTTTTTGATGTATGATTGTCTTTCAGTTCAGTTTTTATGTTTGTTTCATATGAGACAACAATCCTTCGTGAGGATTTGTTTGCAAATCCACACGAAGGATATACTGAAGGGCTGACTGTCATATAGACTGATGTATTAGCCTGAGATTTAGTGTTAATTCCTAATTCTCTCAGATGGGTGAAACGATTCTTTTCAAAATTAGTTATGCCTCAGTAGCAGCTGTTTCTCCAGTTTGCTCGTTTTTCAACAGCAATTTCAAACTCCTCTCGAGGGATGTTTGCAGCAATTGTATTTAAGTTTATCCTTGAAGTGTAAACCAAGAATGGCCTATGTTACACTTACCATGAAAAAGTTGGCTATACATTTTTGGCATCCGATCATCACTCATATATATATATATATATATATATATATATATATATATAATATATAAAGTAAACCTAAAGGGCCAGACAAACCTTTTACCTAGGTTTCACCTGCGCTGATCGTCATGGTAGACTGGCTAAAGAGGTGCTATAAGAACAGAAAGTATATAGCCTACAACGCAAAAACATGACAATGTGACCCCCCCCCAAAAAAAAAAAACCCAAAACCAAACAGTAACACAACAACTTGGTGAACCTATTGATTTCAAAAAAAAAAAAAAAAAGGCCAAGAGAAGAAACAAAGCCTATTGTAGTAACTAGCGTTTTCTATGCCTACACTTACTTATAAGTATATGTTATTAGTTCTTTCTTTTTTTACCCTTTTATTACCCTTGGGTATTGGTTTGTTCATTTACAAGCTAAAACACCTAAGGTTTTGCCGAACGAGTATAACTGCTTATATTTATAAGATTATTAGTGTTATATATATATATATATATATATATATATTTTTTTTGCTATTATTTTGCCGCCGGTTTTTTTTTTTTCCTTGTTTATTGTGAACATTGTCAATTCCACTTGTTGAGAATTTTGTCATTTATACTTAACAATAGCCAATTATTCCAAGCAAAGCACAAATCAGAAATAATTAATTTAAAATATTCGTTAGCATGGACACAACTGAATGAGAACAATAACGGGTTCAGTTTTATGTTTTCAAAAATAGTAAATGTTGCCATATCTCAACTGCCCAGCCCTCACTTTGTGAACTTGATGGAATTCAAAATTGTTTAAGTGATCTTGTAGGAGATGACTTTCCAACAGATTCCAGTACTATTTCTATGGTAAGTGTTAGTTCTACCAGTTCAGAACACACCATGCTGTATAGTTGCTTCCCTGAAGACTACAATCTTAACCTCTTCAAGTCAATCATTTTCTATCCTCATAATCTTTACTTCCTATCTTTTAGTGAGTGTGAGATAATATTAAATTACTTCCTGATCATAATGGCCCAGTGGATAAAGGTGTTGGTGAGATAGTATTGACTTACTTCATGATTACCTCCTAGATGAGGTATTATGATTATTTACATTATTCAGACTGTTATCCTCATCTTCATTGCCATATTCACAACATTTTGGCCATTGTATGCTCTGGCCTTCTTCAGATGATTGGAATTTTAAACCAAACCATTTCATCCACCGGGGTAGATTGTTTTAGTTCCACGTCCCATGCCTCTTCAGGATGTCTCAGTTATTTCTCTTTAACTCTACTCTCCAAGTTTTTGGTTCACTGCTGGTATTGAACTCACAACACTTTGGATCTACCCAATGCCTTTATCCACTGGGCCGTGTGTCCTTGAGGACACCTGTGTATGAATTTCTAGGACTTATAAACCTAATGTATTACAATTTTAAAGAATCAGCACATATGCTAGGCCACAAAAATCTCCTGAGCTGACCAAGCATAGAAATGAATACAATATAGGAACTACTAATAAGGAGTTCTAGAGAAAAGCAATGAATAACAACAAAAATTGCAATATGAGCTCTGGTAAAAAAATATGCAATATAATAATGCAAAAATTGCAATATGAGCTCTGGTAAAAAAATATGCAATATAATAATGCAAAAATTGCAATATGAGCTCTGGTAAAAAAATATGCAATATAATAATGCAAAAATTGCAATATGAGCTCTGGTAAAAAAATATGAAATATAATAATGCAAAAATTGCAATATGAGCTCTGGTAAAAAATTATGAAATATAATAATGCAAAAATTGCAATATGAGCTCTGGTAAAAAAATATGCAATATAATAACCCAAAAATTGCAATATGTGCTCTGGTAAAAAAATATGCAATATAATCATGCAAAAATTGCAATATGAGCTCTGTTAAAAAAGAAGTTGCTGAGACTTTAGGTTTATAAGTCCCAGAAATTCATCCACAGATAGCCTCATAAGCACACATGGCCCAGTGTATAAAGGTGTCAGTTAGACCCAAAGAGTTGTGAGTTCAATACCATGCTACAGCAGTGGTGAACCGAAAATTTGGAGAGTTGAGTTAAAGGGAAATAACTGAGACATCTGCAAGAGGCATGGCATGTGAAACTAGAACAAATAAATCAATCAAAGTAGAATAAATAAATCGATTACCTGAAGGAGGTCGGAGGGTACATCAGCCAAAATGTTGTGAATATGGCAATGGAGATGAGGATAACAGTCCAAATGTAAATATTCACTCACTCTTTGAAGAAGGAAAGAAATTTGCAAGCCTATGTGAGGTTTTTGCTTTTCACAGAAAATTAACTGGAGAGCTGGTGAAGAAGGAAATAAATTTGTGAACCTGTGTGAAATTGTTTTTGGACCAATGAAAACCTTGCCTTCATAGAAATTAGCCAGTTAGCCAAGAAAGAAAGAAAGAAAGTAGCAAGCACAAAATTCTTTTTGATATAAAATGGAGAGAAAAATTAAATTAAACGGAGAAGAGCGTCTTATGTGAAAGGTTTTGTTTCAGTTCCTTGTGACCAGCATAGAAGTTCTCACCAGTGTCAAATTACTCACCAATTATATTATCAGTCTCTAACCAGCATGTGGCACTTAAAAGAATTTTTCTTTCAACAATCCCAGAAAGCTAAGTATTTCAAGCTATCTCACTTCATTTACTTTTGAACATATGCAAACCAAATATTATTTTGGTGAGCAATGAACTCTCTTACTTTTGTCTTAAACATTTTTTAATATTATTTTGTGTCGGATCGTTTAATCTGTTGTATGGAGATTTCCTCTTCATGACAATACGTTAAAACTATGGACTTTAAGAATTCTGATTTGTTTTCTTGAAATGAGCTACTGACACTTCAAGCGTGTAAATTCATGAATAAATTCCTTATCGTGTTTAAAATTATCTGTGTGTTTCCTCGTCATTCTCATCATTCATTAATCTTCTTGGCGTGGGTAAATCAA